GGTGCTGCTGTTTGAATATTTAAAGGGCCGGTATCGGCCTTAAGAAACGGGGCATTTTCACAAGTACTCATGAAAATGCCTTGTATCGGCCCCAAGACCGATACATCCCTAGTTATTTCCTTAGACCATTTTCTCATGGCTATTCTATAGTTGGTTCATATGCTGCCACCTAGTGGCCTTTGTTGGTATTGCACATGCTTTTCTATGTTCCTTTCCCGATATCAATGACACATTTCCTTCTGTGTGTATGCTCCGCCCCTTCTTGCTCAGTAGCATATCCTGTGTCATGGCTGCAGCTAACAACAGGCCGCATGTAATCTGCATCGCACGCTACAGACAGTATCATCTTTTGACCGCTTAAATACTGCATTCCATTCACCTTCTGTGTGTGTGTGTGTGTGTGTGTGTGCTCCGCCCTTCTTGCTCAGTAGCATATCCTGTGTCATGGCTGCAGCTAACAACAGGCCGCATGTAATCTGCATCGCACGCTACAGACAGTATCATCTTTTGACCGCTTAAATACTGCAATCCATTCATCTGCTGTATCCTGTTTTTCTGCTGTAACCTGATGTACAGAATAAAGCACCTTTGTGGATGGAAAAGGTATTGGTGAGTTCAGCTATCTGATAAGGATTTGTCCTCAGTGATTGTATCTGCTTATACAGGCCGGGCATAGAGGTCTCAGCAAGGGATAAATCGCTATCAATCGGAGTCAGAATAATAATGCCAGCAGGAAATCCCAGGTGTGGCAGATTGTAACTTGCGATAAGATCTGAGACCTGGACCAGCACGGGGGAAAAGATGACGTACACCCTTCCTTAGAAAACTGTCGTTCACATCTGTGTTTTAATTTTAGGTGAAAATAAAAAAATAACATTTCGATTCATCTGCTTTGATAGTATAAACACAATTCTTTATCCCGGCACCGTATTCCCTTTTTTAACCCCGCCGCGCCTGGCCCTTTAAAAGGCAGAATCCACCTTTTTGGACAAAAATTAATACATTTTTAAATGCAGGCTTTGATTTTTTTGCATTGGAGCCTGCAAAGCGTTACAACCTGCCATGGTGGGTGCAATGCTCAGGCTCCTGCAGGTTCTTCCTCCCCAGCACAGGTGCGTACCAAGGTATGGACTTTCAGCTACGGGACGGGAGGAAGAGCCAATGGGCAGGCAGTGTGGAACAAGGCATGGTAATGGGGAAGGAACATCTGCTAGGGGCCAAGATGGCCACCACCACACAGAGCCAGTGTGGGACAAGGCATGGTAATGGGGAAAGATCCTCTCTTGGGAGCCAACAGGCCAAGATGGCCACCACACAGAGTGTGTAGAACAAGGCATGGTAATGGGGAAGGAGCATCTGCTGGGAGCCAACAGGCCAAGATGGCCACCACCACACAGACACAGTCAAGAGTAAGGCATGTTAATGGGGAAGGAACATTTGCTAGGGGCCAAGATGGCCACCACCACATAGAGCCAGTGTTGAACAAGGCATGGTAATGGGGAAAGATCTGCTGGAAGCCAACAGGCCAAGATGGCCACCACCACGGAGACACAGCATGGAACAAGGCATGTTAAACGGGGAAGGAACATCTGCAAGGGGCCAAGATGGCCACCACCTCACAGAGCCAGTGTGGGACAAGGCATGGTAATGGGGAAGGAACATCTGCTAGGAGCCAACAAGCCAAGATGGCCACCACCACACAAAGACAGTGTTGAACAAGACATGGTAATGGGAAAAGATCTGCTGGAAGCCAACAGGCCAAGATGGCCACCACCACAGAGACACAGTATGGAACAAGGCATGTTAAACGGGGAAGGAACATTTGCTGGGGGCCAAGATGGCCACCACCTCACAGAGCCAGTGTGGGACAAGGCATGGTAATGGGGAAGGAGCATCTGCTGGGAGCCAACATGGCAGCCACCACAGAGACACAGTGAGGAGTAAGGAATGTTAATGGGGAAGGAACATTTGCTGGGGGCCAACAGGCCAAGATGGCCACCACCACACAAAGACAGTGTTGAACAAGACATGGTAATGCGGAAAGATCTGCTGGAGGCCAAGATGGCCACCACACAGAGAGTGTAGAACAAGGCATAATAATGGGGAAGGAGCATCTGCTGGGAGCCAACAGGCCAAGATGGTCACCACCACACAGACACAGTGAGGAGTAAGGCATGTTAATGGGGAAGGAACATTTGCTGGGGGCCAACAGGCCATACTGGTGACCAGTCCTTTGGTTGGGCACAACCTCCACTGTTGACGTCCTCTTGAATACACAACGAGGCCAAGCATATTCCCTCTCATGAACCATTTCAGGAGAGCGTGTTGCCATGCACTTCCTGTCCGCTCTGCGCAGGAAAAACACCTTCCCCCCGCGAGACCTTTTGCAAAAAAACATTCAGTTCACCGACCACTTTTTGATGGACGAGTCAATAAGAGGAAACGAGGGTAGAGTTCAAAATATAAATCATTTATTAAAATATAAAAAAATCTTTACAAATTAGTAAAAAAAAATTATAACGCACATATTGATCTTAAAACACATTTTTAAAACAAAAACAAAAAAAAACGCCAAAACATATTCCACCAAAGAAAACAAAAAAAGAATATTACAAAAATATTTTGGATAAAAATTAAACTTACTGTACATAAAGCTTTAGAAGGTAACACTTTACAAGAGGAGGGGCGAACGTATAAATATGCCCTTTTTTTTTTTTGCTGTATTCTCTTAATCGATCAGACCTAGAATTAGGCGGCAAGTCGTTTTTTGATGCCTCCAGAGATCCGACCAACCCGACATAAAAATAACATTTTCGATTCATCTGCTTTGATAGTATAAAACACAATTATTTATCCTAGCG